CTTATTTGATCAATATTTTTGTAAAAGTGACTGTTTAAATTTAAAAGATTACTTTGTATTAATCTTGATTTTAAAAAATAATTAAAATTTTAATTTACATTTAGAATTTGAAACCTCATCATATTAAATATTAATATTTAAATTTAAAAATTTATTATATATTTTAATATGTCAACATTTAATAAAATAACTTTTTAAATTTTGAATCAAGTTTTAATTAAATAAAATCATGTAATTTAAGATTTAAACTCTGATTATTTTTTAAGAGTCAAGATTGATATTTATTTTTTTATTAAATTTAATATTATATTTAAATATATCATATATATATTAATTTTTAAATTAATTAAATATATTTAATAGTTTATTATTTATTCAAAATTAATTTTATTAAATACAAAATATATATTAAAAATATAATTTCTCAATAAAATAATTATTTCAATTGGTCTTTAAAATTTTTTTGAAAGATGTTATTATTTTTTAGTTGAAATTTTGTAGAGTGAATATTAATATGCATTAATTTTTTTATCATAATCCATAAGTACTTAATTACTCCGTCCGAATTTAATTTAATCTTGTAAATATAAATTTCAAAAAAATTAACATATTATATTAAAAAAAAGTACATATCGAACATAAATGGGTGATCCTATTGACACACCCTCAATTATTAACACCATACCTTTTTATCTTAATTAACTATTATACTCTTAAATTTATTAACAAATAAAAATTATAAAATTTTGAGAAAAAATGTAATGTAAAGGTAAAATAGATAATTACTTTAAAAATATATGGCTTTAACTATATTACCACACCCATTCCGACTCCTAAAATAAATTTGAGTCTCGACCTTAAATTAGGTCATTTTATTCAATTAAAATTTAATTCAAATTTTAAAAATTTATCTTATTAAATATTGATATTTATATTTAAAAACTAATTATATTAGATTAGTCTCAACCCTAAAAATATTTAGAATTTTAATTTTTTGATGATGTAATTTTATTTAATTAAAATTTAATTCAAATTTTAAAAATTTATCTTATTAAATATTGATATTTATATTTAAAAACTAATTATATTAAAATACATAATCAATTTCAAATTTTAGGTATCAACTAAATTGTTAAATTTTGAATTGAAATTTTGGTTTCTAAACATAGGTTAGGACTCTAATTTTTTTTTTTTAAATAGAGATTGATACACACTAACCCATTATATAAATGATAACTGAAAATTTCTTTAATTAAATAAAAATACTTAACAAGAACATTATATAAGAAAAAAACACTTTTTAATTATTATTCATATAAATTGTTAAATTTTTATTTAAAATTTATATCTAAAAAATTAAAAAGTCAAAATAAATTTACTAAAAATGAATGAGAGAGTAGTTTCTTTGTTTTTAACTTAGATAATTACATCCTTTGCAAGTATACTATTATTTTTTGTTTTTATCTTAATTGCACAATAAAAAGCAATTTTTTTCAATTCTTTATCATACTCTACTTACATGCCATATGATTCAAAATTAAGATTTTTTATTTTCAATAAAAAAAGCTATCACTGATTTATTTAAGTTATTGGTGCAATTATACTACAACTAAAAACTTAAACTTATAACTATTAAAATATTTTCTAAAAAATTAATAATTTTGATATTGATGTAAAGAAGGTCGTCTATTTAATTTAACTTTGTATGTGAGTTTAATTTAGTAGGTGTGTGTTTTAAAGTTTGAAAAATAGTTATCAATTATAAACTTTAATTAAATAGATTACAAACCTTATATTATAAAAAACAATGATTAATAATCGTTAAATATTAACTATAAATTATTAATAACATCAAAATAGCTAATTTAAATACCACTACTATACATCTAGTATTATTTAATTCATTTAATTCTACCTCATTTTGTATCATAAAAGGAAAAAAATTCTACTTCATTATGTGTAAAATATTAAACTTTCAATTTAAAATTAGTTATCGAACTTTTTAAAATTATTTACACATAATTTCAAGCAATATTTTATATACTCCCCGTGCCTCACAATAATAATTACTCTTTATCAAAAAATTTTGCCAA